CCCCGCGCCCACCGGAAGCGGCGGCGGGACCGCCCTGCCCGCCCGCCTTCCCCCCAGCTCCGCCGCCACGCAGTGCGCAGGCGCCGTGCGCGGCCCCGCCCCGCGGGGGACTACATCTCCCGGCGTGCACCGCGGGGAGCGGGGCGTGGGGAGGGTAACGGCGGCCGGAGAGGGTTATACCGTGCGGAACGCGGCCGTGGAGGGGAACGGGGCTGCTCCCGGTGTCAGCTCCCGGTGCCCGCTACCAGCGCCCGCTGTCACCTCCCAGTGGCACCTCCCAGTGCCCACCATCAACTCCCAGTGCCCACCATCAACTCACTCCCAGTGCTCCACACGACCTCCCAGTGCTCCACACCACCTCCCAGTGCCCACCATCAACTCCCAGTGCTCCACACCACCTCCCAGTGCCCACCATCAACTCCCAGTGCCCACCATCAACTCACTCCCAGTGCTCCACACCACCTCCCAGTGCTCCACACCACCTCCCAGTGCCCACCATCAACTCCCAGTGCTCCGTACCACCTCCCAGTGCCCACCATCAACTCCCTCCCAGTGCTCCATACCGGCTGTCACCACCCAGCTCCCGGTGTCCGTCCCCTCCCAGCGCCCACCGTCACCTCTCGGTGTCATCGCCCGGCGGTGTCATGTCTCGGTGCTCGGTACCAACCCCCAGCGCCCGGTGTCCCCTCCCAGTGGCCGGTACCGGCCCCCAAACCCCAGTGTCCCCTCCCAGCCCCGCCCCCTCTTCCCCCGGTGCCGCCCGTTCCCGGAGGGCGGAGCGGGGGCCGCCGATCGGCACCGGCAGTCGGGATGGTCGTCATGTGGCTGTACGGGCTGATCTTCCTCCTCCTCCCGGTCCTGCTCCTGCTCCTGCTGCTCCGGCAGCTGCGGGGGACGGGGAGCGACCCCAGCCCCTTCGCCACCGACACCCGCCGCCCCCCGGCCCCACTGGTCACCGACAAGGCTGCCCGCAGGACGGTCGTCAAGACAGGTACGGGTCTCTGCTCCCCACGGTGGGACCCCCCTCCGCCTCTGCCCCTGCGCCCCACCGAGGGGACATCGCCCCCCGGGTTGTGTCAACCCCCCGAGGTGGCATCACCCAGCGAGGTGACACCCTCCCCTGGCGCAGCATCACCCGTGGGGCGGCATCACCCCCTGGGGCTGGGTGATCCCCCCAGAGTGGCATTTCCCCCCATGTGGCATTGCCCAGGGAGGTGGCATCACGCCCCAGGGTGGCATCTCCCCTTCGAAGAGCGTCTCTCCCCCTGGGGCAATAGGACCTCCCCAGTGTGTGGCATCTCCTCCAGGTGTGACACTGCCTGGTGAGGTGGCATAAGCCCCCAGGGCAGCATTAACTCCCCGGGGGGGGCATCACCCCCTGAGCCTGCATCTCCCACCCCCCACTTATGGCATCTCTCCCCCAGGGTGGCATCACCCCCTGGGGCTGTATGACCCCCCGGGGTGGCATCTCTCCCCCAGGGTGGCATCACCCCCTGGAGCTGTGTGACCCCCCCCTCCTCCAGAGTGTCATCACCCCCCAGGGTGGCATCACCTCCTGGCAAGGTTTTGGTGTCACCGGCGGGTACCAGGGGGTGCTCCGTCCTGCCGCTGAGGATGCCACCCCCTCCCACCCCCCGTCCCCCAGTTTTCTCGGCAGACAAGGTCCCCTCGGGGCTGGATGCCATCGTGGTGGGCAGCGGCATCGGGGGCCTGGGGGCTGCGGCGCTGCTGGCCAAGGCGGGCAAGCGGGTGCTGGTGCTGGAGCAGCATGGGAAGCTGGGGGGCTGCTGCCACACCTTCACCGAGAAGGGCTTCGAGTTCGACACCGGTACGACATCCCCCCCACACACACCCGTGTTTGGGGTCCCAAAATTCCTCCCTGGGATCACTGCGGGGAGGCTCAGCCACAGGGGGGAGGGTTGGGGGTGGGAGGGTGCCCGTGAGGTGGGAATCGCCCCCGAAACACCAGTGGGGGACCCAGCGCAGGCGTCCCCAGCTCCGTGTTGCACAAGCCCTTTTTCTGCATGATCTCACACACCCTCCCTCGCCTCAAATTCCTCCTGCCAAATGACAAGGCACTTCCTCAGAAAAACACCAAAACTCTGTAGAATTGCCCCTGACCCAGCGCAGGGCCAAGAAAATCTGCTGTATCCGGCTCGGCCCCTTTAGAATTCCCTGTCTGGGGATGTCACCTCGGGACAAGGCTCCCTGGGTGAACTCCTTCCAAGAAGACAAAGTCCAGCCCCATCCGCACCTTAAGCTGGACACGATTAATTATTGACAGTGACAGGGAAAGGCAAAATATCCATGTGCAACGAAATTCCTAAAAGCTGATTAAAAACCTGGCGGTGAGCACTGGGTTTGTCCCTTCGCCCCAGGAGGGGAGGTGGATATTTCCTGGCTTTTCCCTTTCCCCTGCACAGGGGGGTCCTGTGCATCACAGGTGTGTGCGATTGCGGGGGGGTGAAAAAAGTGAAAAAAACAACGAACAACTCCAAAATAAATGAAAAAAATGCCTCTTTGCAGGTATTCACTACGTGGGGCAGATGCAGGAGGGCTCCGTCACTCGCTTCATGGTGGACCAGCTGACGGAGGGGCAGCTGGAGTGGGCTCGGCTGCCGGCCGTCTTCGACGCGGTGGTTTTGGGGGAGCCCAGCAGCGGCAGGACCTACCGCCTCTATTCCGGGAAGGAGGAATATTTCCAAGGCTTGAAGGAACAGTTTCCCGGGGAGGAGGCCGCGATCGATGAGTTCAAGCGGCTGGTGAAGGTAGAGGGGGCTTCACCTTCTCCCCCCTCCCCAGGAGTATTTTGTTTTGGCTCCGGTCCCTTTCTGCTGGGAGGGAAAATTCCCTGCCCTGACACCCAGATCCTGGGCAAGTGCAGGGAATAATGGCCTTGCACAACCCGGCCCAAAAGCTGGGGGGAACGTGGCAAAAAAATCCCCCTTTTCTTCCTCAAAACCGTGCCATTGCACCCGGGGTTTTAACCCCCCTCTCCACAGATGGTCCCGGATGGGACCCACCCAAACCCCAACTTCCCCCTGCCGGGCACCTCCCAGTGCCCACCATCAACTCCCAGTGCCCACCATCAACTCACTCCCAGTGCTCCACACCACCTCCCAGTGCTCCACACCACCTCCCAGTGCCCACCATCAACTCCCAGTGCTCCGTACCACCTCCCAGTGCCCACCATCAACTCCCTCCCAGTGCTCCATACCGGCTGTCACCACCCAGCTCCCGGTGTCCGTCCCCTCCCAGCGCCCACCGTCACCTCTCGGTGTCATCGCCCGGCGGTGTCATGTCTCGGTGCTCGGTACCAACCCCCAGCGCCCGGTGTCCCCTCCCAGTGGCCGGTACCGGCCCCCAAACCCCAGTGTCCCCTCCCAGCCCCGCCCCCTCTTCCCCCGGTGCCGCCCGTTCCCGGAGGGCGGAGCGGGGGCCGCCGATCGGCACCGGCAGTCGGGATGGTCGTCATGTGGCTGTACGGGCTGATCTTCCTCCTCCTCCCGGTCCTGCTCCTGCTCCTGCTGCTCCGGCAGCTGCGGGGGACGGGGAGCGACCCCAGCCCCTTCGCCACCGACACCCGCCGCCCCCCGGCCCCACTGGTCACCGACAAGGCTGCCCGCAGGACGGTCGTCAAGACAGGTACGGGTCTCTGCTCCCCACGGTGGGACCCCCCTCCGCCTCTGCCCCTGCGCCCCACCGAGGGGACATCGCCCCCCGGGTTGTGTCAACCCCCCGAGGTGGCATCACCCAGCGAGGTGACACCCTCCCCTGGCGCAGCATCACCCGTGGGGCGGCATCACCCCCTGGGGCTGGGTGATCCCCCCAGAGTGGCATTTCCCCCCATGTGGCATTGCCCAGGGAGGTGGCATCACGCCCCAGGGTGGCATCTCCCCTTCGAAGAGCGTCTCTCCCCCTGGGGCAATAGGACCTCCCCAGTGTGTGGCATCTCCTCCAGGTGTGACACTGCCTGGTGAGGTGGCATAAGCCCCCAGGGCAGCATTAACTCCCCGGGGGGGGCATCACCCCCTGAGCCTGCATCTCCCACCCCCCACTTATGGCATCTCTCCCCCAGGGTGGCATCACCCCCTGGGGCTGTATGACCCCCCGGGGTGGCATCTCTCCCCCAGGGTGGCATCACCCCCTGGAGCTGTGTGACCCCCCCCTCCTCCAGAGTGTCATCACCCCCCAGGGTGGCATCACCTCCTGGCAAGGTTTTGGTGTCACCGGCGGGTACCAGGGGGTGCTCCGTCCTGCCGCTGAGGATGCCACCCCCTCCCACCCCCCGTCCCCCAGTTTTCTCGGCAGACAAGGTCCCCTCGGGGCTGGATGCCATCGTGGTGGGCAGCGGCATCGGGGGCCTGGGGGCTGCGGCGCTGCTGGCCAAGGCGGGCAAGCGGGTGCTGGTGCTGGAGCAGCATGGGAAGCTGGGGGGCTGCTGCCACACCTTCACCGAGAAGGGCTTCGAGTTCGACACCGGTACGACATCCCCCCCACACACACCCGTGTTTGGGGTCCCAAAATTCCTCCCTGGGATCACTGCGGGGAGGCTCAGCCACAGGGGGGAGGGTTGGGGGTGGGAGGGTGCCCGTGAGGTGGGAATCGCCCCCGAAACACCAGTGGGGGACCCAGCGCAGGCGTCCCCAGCTCCGTGTTGCACAAGCCCTTTTTCTGCATGATCTCACACACCCTCCCTCGCCTCAAATTCCTCCTGCCAAATGACAAGGCACTTCCTCAGAAAAACACCAAAACTCTGTAGAATTGCCCCTGACCCAGCGCAGGGCCAAGAAAATCTGCTGTATCCGGCTCGGCCCCTTTAGAATTCCCTGTCTGGGGATGTCACCTCGGGACAAGGCTCCCTGGGTGAACTCCTTCCAAGAAGACAAAGTCCAGCCCCATCCGCACCTTAAGCTGGACACGATTAATTATTGACAGTGACAGGGAAAGGCAAAATATCCATGTGCAACGAAATTCCTAAAAGCTGATTAAAAACCTGGCGGTGAGCACTGGGTTTGTCCCTTCGCCCCAGGAGGGGAGGTGGATATTTCCTGGCTTTTCCCTTTCCCCTGCACAGGGGGGTCCTGTGCATCACAGGTGTGTGCGATTGCGGGGGGGTGAAAAAAGTGAAAAAAACAACGAACAACTCCAAAATAAATGAAAAAAATGCCTCTTTGCAGGTATTCACTACGTGGGGCAGATGCAGGAGGGCTCCGTCACTCGCTTCATGGTGGACCAGCTGACGGAGGGGCAGCTGGAGTGGGCTCGGCTGCCGGCCGTCTTCGACGCGGTGGTTTTGGGGGAGCCCGGCAGCGGCAGGACCTACCGCCTCTATTCCGGGAAGGAGGAATATTTCCAAGGCTTGAAGGAACAGTTTCCCGGGGAGGAGGCCGCGATCGATGAGTTCAAGCGGCTGGTGAAGGTAGAGTGGGCTTCACCTTCTCCCCCCTCCCCAGGAATATTTTGTTTTGGCTCCGGTCCCTTTCTGCTGGGAGGGAAAATTCCCTGCCCTGACACCCAGATCCTGGGCAAGTGCAGGGAATAATGGCCTTGCACAACCCGGCCCAAAAGCTGGGGGGAACGTGGCAAAAAAATCCCCCTTTTCTTCCTCAAAACCGTGCCATTGCACCCGGGGTTTTAACCCCCCTCTCCACAGATGGTCCCGGATGGGACCCACCCAAACCCCAACTTCCCCCTGCCGGGTGCCGTGGGGTGACACTGCAGGGCCTCCCAGCCCGTGGGGTGATTGCAATTATTACAAATGGTGCTAAATCAACATTAATCATGCAAAGACCAGGGGCCCCTGCCTCAGGGGAGGTTTTTTGGCGGGGGGGGGGAGGAAGCGCTCACCTTGCCCACAGCTCCCCTGGGACGCGGAGCTGAAGAGCCCCTGCTAGCAGTGCCAGCCAAGCGATTCATTTCAATTCATTTAAATTCAAAATAAGGGGGAAAAAAAGCCACTTTGGAGCATCTCTCGAGCTCCCCCCCCGGGGTGGTGGATGCTCAGGGAGCGCGTTTCCCCCGCAGAGCGTGGGCAGAGGGACGGTGCTGGTGGGACTCCTGAAGATGCTGCCGCGGGCGCTGGTCGCCCTGCTCTGCCGCTCGGGGCTGCTGCCCCGGCTCAGCGCCTTCTGCCGCCTGGCCCCGCGCAGCCTGAAGGAGGTGGTGGAGGGTCTCACCGCCAACCCCGAGCTCCGGGCCGTCCTCAGCTACATCTTCCCCACCTACGGTAGGTGGTCAGGAGGTTCCAGAGGGGAAGTTGAACCCTTAGGAGCAAAAAAAAATACCCCACCCAAGTAAAGCCTTTTTTCTTCTTGCTTTCATGGCTGTCACGGTCTGGGAACAGGGGGGTGCTGTGCGTGTGGGTGCTCTGCCAGCATTCTTGTCCCCAAGCCAGCATCTAGTTGTCCCCATGTCCCCCGGTTGTCCCCATGTCCCCCAGTTGTCCCCATGTCCCCCGGTTGTCCCCTTGTCCCCCAGTTGTCCCCATGTCCCCCTTCATCTCTTTCCCTCCACCTACCTGGCCTCCTGCCTGTGGTGTGGCAGCATCACTCCTGCACCAGGGAACATCCCACCCCCTCCCACACACCCCCAGGGTTTGCTCCCAGCCCCCCATGACTTGCCCAGTGCAGACTGAGTTGCCAAAGAGCCCCAGGGCCACCCACGCCCAATGCCCTCCCTGCTCCTCCAGGTACCGATAACTCATCTCTCCTGCCTTAGAGCCCTACATCCAGGCGAGGACAGGGCCTTCTTCCTCCTAAAACCTTCAGGAAAAGCCACACACTCAACGTTTCAGCACAAACGGCCTGTTTTTCTTCAGGTGTGGTCCCCTCCAAGGCCAGCTTCTCCATGCACAGCATCTTGGTGAACCACTTCCTCCGCGGCGCCTGGTACCCCAAAGGAGGAGCCGGGGAAATCGCCTTCCACACCATTCCCGTTATCCGGAAAACCGGAGGCAACGTGTTGGGAAAGGCACCGGTGCAGAGGATCCTGCTGGACTCCCAGGGCAGAGCCTGCGGTGAGCGCCGGCGTGGGATGGGGGACGCGCAGCCGGGGCTGACCCCCCATCACCCCCCCAACTCCACCTTTCCCTTCCAGGCGTGAGCGTTAAGAAAGGCCAGGATTTGGTGAACATCTTTGCTCCCATCATCATTTCGGACGCCGGGATCTTCAACACCTACGAACGGCTCCTGCCGGCGGAGGCGCGGGCGCTGCCGGGTAAAACACGGGCTCCTTCGGGGCTGTGGCATTCCCCCCCCCACCCCGAGGCCACCTCAGAAAGTGGCTCCATTATAATTATTTCTTAGACAAATGTTCACGTTGCAGCACTCGGAACACCGTCCCCGGCTGTACATTGCTTTGCAGGGTTTTTAATTGAGCTTTTATCAAACCTTGCAGCTCAGTTTCCCTAAAATAACCACAGCGGAGCGCCCCAAAACTTTTGGAAGTTCGTGAATCGTCTGCTTAAAGCTGGATTTAGCGCTGCCACAAAATCATCTTGGTGCTCTGGAAAGAACGTGGTTGGGTGGAAGGGGATAGGGTTGGAGGGAAGGAGCATGGCCAGGGGGAAGCTTTTTGGGGGCTGGTATGGTCCTGGTCTACAGCCATCCGACACTGGCAGAGCAGGAGCATGTTGGGATCCAGGAAGGTCATTAAACTTGGCAAAAGCTCAATCCCTGGGTCCCCTAAACCATCCCTTGTAGGAAAGGGCCTCTGCAGGAGCTGCCAAACCACCCCCTGAGCACACATGGACCTTTTGAGATAAGCCAGTTTACCCATTAGCACGGGAGCAATGAAGGTCTAAGTGGGGTTGCTGCTAGGAGAAATCACTTCTCCACAGCTGAGGACCCCCAAAAATACTAATTTTCCCCTTCTTCCCTCCCTGTCGCAGAGATCCAGTCGCAGCTTGGCATGGCAACACACGGTGCAGGGGGTTTCACCGTCTTCGTAGGTCTTAACGGCTCAAGGGAAGAGCTGGGGCTGGAGCCCACCAACTACTTCATGTACACAGGAACTGACCTGGATGAAATGTAGGTTTGGCATCACCTTAGACATGCTCCGTTAAGCACAAGGAGGTGGATTCCTGAGGTGTGATTCAGAAAATGCTCTTGGCTCTCCTCGCCGCATGGGGATTCAGGCATAACAGGTATTCAGGGCAAGGTTTGAATCCAAACCCACCTCAAACCCTTGCATCTCTCTGCAGAACGAATCGCTACCTGGCTTCTTCCAGAGAAGAAGCTGCCAAGAACATCCCTCTCCTGTTTGTCACCTGCCCATCAGCCAAGGACCCCACCTGGGAAACCAGGCACCCAGGTAACGGCTGAGGCCCAACCACACACGCTTCAGAGTGGCTTGAAAACTCTTGCTGGGTTTTGGTTTGTTTGATGAGAGCAAACAAGGAGTTTCTCCTAAAATAGCCATGGTCAAAGCTGCTGAGCAGGTTGCTCATGGGAAGTGGTCTCCAAGATAACTGGAAGAAGGATAGGGGACCATAAAGACCTGGGGACATCCTGGGTTTGGTTTTGTGGCAGTGAAATGGTGGCATGAGTGTGGGCAGAGGGACAACTGCCTCAACTTCATCCTGCTGCAGGTAAATCCACGCTGGCCATCGTGACCTTCGCCAAATACGAGTGGTTTGAGGAGTGGAAGGACAAGCAGGTCAATAAGCGGGGAGATGATTATGAGGAGTTGAAGAAGACCTTTGTGGATGCCATCATGCAGACTGTCTTCAAGCTCTACCCTCGCATCGAGGACAGGGTGAGGAAACCTGGGGGTTCAGGGGTCCTCCAGCTCCTCTCCTGGGTCCTGTGTACCCAGTCCCATCCTGCAAATGTAAGAGCTGGGTACCAAAGTTGGCCAGAACCACCACCCAAGGGTCTGCAAGCAAACCTGTCCCTGCCTGTACCCCAAGAAAATAGCTTTCTGGAACACAAGGAGATACCCTGCAGCACTATGCCTAACCCATGCAGATCACATTGTCCCCTTGTCCCCCCCAGATCGAATACATCTCCGGGGGGACACCCCTCACCAACCAGCACTACATTGCCAGCCCCAAGGGGGAGATCTACGGCATTGACCACAACATCACCCGCATGAAAGCCGAAACCATTGCCACAGTGAGGGCGCAGACAGCTGTCCCCAACCTCTACCTGACAGGTACCATGGCCACACCGCGTTCTCAGATAAGACACCTCTGGGGAAGCGGGATATGGGGGGAAAAAGCCTTCATTCCTTCAATGAAATAAGGGGACAAGCCACTGCTTTGCCACACGGTGATGCAGGAGCTGCTGGAGCATGTCAAAATGGAGTGGCATGGTCCCAATGGGAGGAGGAGAGGGCTCCTGGATGTGGGTTCCCTGCCCCATGCTGATTTATTGTAGATGGGCAGGATGAGGCCCTTTCTCTGCTGGGAAGAAGGAAAGGCACAAGCAGGGAGAGGGTTTGTGGGTTCAGTCCCAAGGGATGGTGTAGGGGCAGCTGGAGGGTGGGGAAGGTGTTTGGGGATGATGATTTCTGGAAGAGCGTTGATGGTCTGCTCTGTGGGCTGCTCACGGGGACCGTGGTTGCTGCCATTGCCACCTCCCACTCTCTTCCAGGGCAGGATTTGTGCATAGGGGGCTTCATGGGAGCCCTGCAAGGAGCCCTAATCTGCGCCAGCGCCATCCTCAAGCGCAACCTCTACGTCGACATGGTGCAGCTGAAAAAGCGCACAGAGGCCACCAACTCTAAGAAGGGGGACTGATGCCTGCCATCCCACCGGCCAGGACCTCCCTTTAACCCCCAGCCCGCCAGATCACCCACACTGCCCTATTTTCAGCTCTCAATTGCCTATAGCACATCTTTCTGCAATGCAAAGTCAAAGGATTACAGCCCAGGAAGATGCCATTCCTGGTTTCCAGCCAGCTTGCCATAGACCTCGCCCACCAACAGCTCATCTCCTTTCACCACAGTGTCTGAGTAAAAGCCAGTGTTGATCCTTGGCCATCCTTTTGAGGACAAACGCCTTCTGGTGCCAGGAAGAGGAGCTCCAAGAGCTGCCATGTGCAATGATGGCCAGCAGAGAAGTCAAGTCAACCCCAAAAACCACGGTTACACCAGAATGCAAGACCCAACAGCTTCTACCAGCAACACCCAAGGGCTGCTTGATCCCTGCCAGTGTCCGAGAGCCATGTGGACCATCAGAAGAGCATCAACCTTCTCTTGCAGCCCCCAGACCCGCTGGGTCAAGGGTGATGCTCTCCCCCACTGAGATGGCAGCTTGGGTGCTTAGTTGGGCTCCTAGAGCTTCATGGGGCTCCTGAAGCTCCACATGGGACTCTGCAGCCCTGCTGGTTGTGGAGGTGGCACCTCCCAGAGATGGGGCCGTGCACGGGCTTGTCCAGGCAGCGTTGGGCAGGTTCAGTAAACCCCTGCCAGCTGCTGGATGGGCACCAGCTGTGTTTAAGCGAGGGGAAGTCACGCGAAACTGAGCCCCGTTGCTGTGTTCTAACAAAGGTGCCCCGGAGAGGCTCATGGACGCGGCCCAGTGGGAAGGAGCTGGCTCCCAGTCAACGGGACAGTGGAGCAAGCAGGTCCTCACATCACACCAAGGCTGGGTGTGAAGAGCGGATTAACTTAAGCCAGGCTATTTAAGAGCAGGCAGATTAATTTAAGACGAGCTATTTAAGAGCAAAGGTGCTTTGCCAGCTGCACAGTGCTTCCGAAGTCCTGCCTTGCTGTGGTGGAGCAGCAGGGCTGGTGTGCTCTGCAGCGACGCAGCCCCTCAACCCCGCCACGCTGCCTCTATTTCGGTGCTGTTCTACACCCCTCCCTCCCCCCCCGCTGTGTCTCATCGCCTGGAGACACACGATGGTGCAAACACCCACTCCTTTGAGCAACAGAACAAGTCTGGCCTTTCTGTCTGCCGGGAAGAGCTTGGGAACCTGATCAAAGTCCTCTCCAAAGGGGAAGGGAAGCATGTGAGAGCAGAAATAAATGAAACACTAACAACCATCTCGTGATTGGCGCCTGGTGATGTGGGACAAGCAGGGCTGCTGCTTTTTGATGGGTTTGGGGAGGGAAGGGGAGAGGGGGTGCAGTGGAGACCCCCTCCTTGCTAGCGCCTCACTGAGGGCTCATCCTGCTCCAGCACCAGTTGCTTTTGGGGAGGAATAATTGCAGAAGTGGGTACCCCGTATGCACCAGTTACACACCGATGCATAACTGGGTACCCCAAGGCCAGCAGGGAGCAGGCAGGGTCGGGCAATGAGCAGCACTGGCCAGGAAAGCCCTGCAAGGATCCCACGGGGGAAGCTGGAAGGGGCAGTTTCCCTGCGGGCAGCGATGGGAAGCTCCTGCTACCTGGCTTTGGGGTGACACCAAGATGGGGAGAGGGTGAGAAGGGCAGTGGGGGATGGCCCGGCTGCTCCTGGTGCTTCCAGCCACGCAGGTGTCTCCATCCCCCCGCCCCCTCCAAACCCTCATCATCCCCTCAGAGAAAAAAATTTCCTCTTTCCCCCCACCCCTCCTCCCCATATATGCCCCATGAGCTCCAGACGGTGCCAGCCCATCTCTCCCGCAGCCGGTGATGCCTGCCTACCCTGGTGACAAGCCCCAGCCCTCTCAGTCCCCCGTGACGCATGCCCGGTGCCACTGCGCGCCCTCGGCAGGTGACAGGGCACAGCTCCTGCCTTGCCCTTGAAGATCAGTGGCACTGGCGCTGTGTCAGCTGGGATCTGCTCCCCTGGACTTCCCGAGGGAGCACACATACTGCAGGGACAAGCCCCGGCTCCCCACCGGTGCGGTGAGGGTTTGGAGGTCACCAGCCCACGAGGGGACACCCCAGCATGGCCCAGCCCAGGCAAAGCCGGGCTCTTATCATTGTCAACACCGATTTTTACGGCAGCGATGGTGAGTTGGACCCACGGAAGGGAGCCAAGAGAGAAGCAGAGAAGCTTTCCTACACGCTCTCACGGCTCAACTACAAGGTGAAGCTGGAGCACAACAAGACAGCCAAGGAGATAGAAGAGCTTTACCAGCAAGGTAGGCATCCCCCTTGCCAGCCTTGAACCCCCTCCTCGCCTCCAACCTGGGAACCTCCCGTTTCCCACCCCCATGACGCCCCTGGAGCCCCTGGAGGCTCGGAGGCAGGGGTCTGGCCGTGTCGTTGCAGAGTGCGGCCACGAGCACGGGGAGCACTTCGTGAGCATCATCTCCAGCCACGGGCAGCAGGGGCTCCTACTCGGCTCTGACTCGGAGCAGGTTGAACTGACCCGGATTTTCCAGATTTTATCCTCAAACAAGTGCCCAGTGCTCACCAAAATCCCCAAAATCTTCTTTATCCAGGTAACAGGGTGATAATTTGATCCCCTTTTTGCTAAGTTTGTGCAGAATTAGACTGACACAAGCACGAGGCTTAAGGTTGCTGTCGGTAAAAGTCTGTTTTAATCGTGGAGCTCAATCCTTTTGTTGCTCCCCATCTTTCCACCACAACTCTCCATCCGTCTTTTTTGTGCTTTCACTGATTTTGAGGTGCCTTTGCTCACTGCAAACACTCCTCTCCCAGCTCCTCATCACCCCTACGTGTGTCCCTTCTTCAGGGAAACAGCCCCAGTCTTTTCCCAGTGTCTCCAGGTGGGAGCATTTCTCCCAGGGCTTCGCACCCTCTGGACAACCTGGGCTGAAACTGAATTGTTTGCTGCGATCCGTGACGCTGCTGGGCTCAAATATTCCCCCCAGACACCTCCGGGATGCGGATGAATCAGTAAAAGCTGCCTTCAAATCCCGTAACCCTGACTTTTGGGCAGAGCAGACCCCCCCAGGGGAGGGCCGGGAGAAGCCCGGCTGAGAACTGGTGATGGAGCAGGGCAAAAAAAAAAAAAAATTAAGGCCAGAGGGGGAGGTTGAACGTGCCCTTGCAGGAGAGGAGCCCTGGAATTCTGCCCTAATGCTGATCCGTCGGGCAGGATTATCTCACCCAAGACACAAATAACCCAGCAGCTGGGCAGACCCCAGCAGATAGCATGAGCTGAGCAAACGTTATGCAAATATCCAGAAGCATTGCCAGCTGAGTGTAAATCACTCCCGGCATCCGTTTCCTTCTGGGAAAGGGCTTGGCTGCTGTGACAGCCGGGGACATCCCCCAGCCAGGCCAGCAGACCCCGACCCTGCTTAGGGCACCAAGGCTGGTGGGCTAAGCTGGCGCTGGGGAAGGCCCTCAAACACCACAGGGCAGAGGGTGCCCAGAGCCCGGGTGGCAAGAGAAGGGCCGGTCTCCTCGATGTCACCACGGCTCCTGGGTTCCTGGTGGTCTCCATCCATCTCTCCGTGCTGCGGTGTCACTGGCGCCTCGTCCTGAGCCAGGATTTGTAATGACAGGACAAGGGGTAATGGTTTTAAATTGGAAGAAGGGAGATTTAGATTAGATATTAGGAAGAACTTCTTTGGTGTGAGGGTGGTGAGAGCCTGGCCCAGGTTGGCCAGAGAAGCTGTGGCTGCCCCATCCCTGGAGGGGTTCAAGGCCAGGCTGGATGGGGCTTTGAGCAACCTGGTCTGGTGGGAGGTGTCCCTGCCCAGGGCAGGGGGTTGGAACTCGATGATCTTTGAGGTCCCTTCCAACTCTGACCATTCCTTGATTCTATGATTTAGGGCTGGCGTTTGGCAGGGTGCTGGCGGAGGGAGAGGCGAGGGGACACTCCCCTCACTCCAGGACACATCCCCTGCTCCATTGGGTCCCATCCATCAGCTCCATGGAGGGATGAAACTTGTCCTCAGAGCTCTAGTCCCTCTCCAGCAGCTTCCCAAAGCCAAGCCCGGCGCTCCTGTGGGAAAGACCAAACCATCACACAGAATAAAGGGCCAGGCAAGAACTGGGCTGCCCATTGCCTGCGCTCCAAAGGGAATCTCTTTCCCAGCTCTTTCCCGGTGGACTCTTGCGTTTCCCAGGTTTATTTCTGGGTTTGGACGGGCAGCACCACATTCACCGTGGAGGGGAGGGGTAAACACCAAGAGCAAGGGAACGAGGAGAACCAGGGGAACGAGGAGAACCAGGGGAAGGAGGGGAACCAGGCTCATGAGAAAAGCCTGGGGAAGAAAGGAGGGAGCCCCAGCTCCAGGCTCATCGGATGAGAGGCTTGGTGAAGCCGAGACCGAGAAGTGAAGAGGATGCTTGATGGATGAGGTGGGAGAGGAACTGTGTGGGGCTGTAGGACTCGGGGAGTGGGAGCCAGGAGGGGGCCCAGGCCCACAGGGAGCCTCCAGGAGCCCAGGAGACGGGCAAATGGGAGAGAGTGGAGCGGGGGAAGCTCACGGCCGCTGTTGTGCCCACAGGCTTGTCGGGGGGAAGACCTGGACCAGGGGGTGATGGTGGAGTGTGACAGCGGGGAGCCTGTGCCGGATGGCTTCTCAGACTACCTCTCCATCCCTCCCCAAACTGCCGTGATGTTCGCCTGCAGCCCAGGTAAGGGGCAGCCGTGACACCCCGGTGATGTCCTCTCTGGGAAGCGCTGCCGCCACAGGCACAGCCCACCTCCCTCTCCTTCCTTTGCGCTCTGCAGGCTACGCGGCCTTCCGCAACATCGCCGGCTCCATGTTCCTCCAGGCCCTACTCAAGTTCCTGGAGGGAGAGGAACGTCACCTGGCCCTCAACAGCCTCATGACGCGCATTAACGGGGAGGTGGCTTTCTACTTCCAGGCCAGGGGCACCCACCAGGGGTGCAAGGAGATGCCCTGCTTTGTCACCAACCTGCTGCAGGAGGTCTTCCCCTTCTCGGCGCCCATTGCAGAGGGGGCGGGTGGTGTCTGAGAGCTTCTGGCTCTGCTGGAGAAGCCTGAGGGGGTGAAGAGCAGCACCTTGGCTGCAAGAAGTCCCCTCTCACACATGGAGGAAAAAAAAGGACAAGTGACAAGAAAACCAACAGAAAACCCCTGCGGAAAGGTGATGGGCTCAGCCCGGGATGTGCCGGAGCTGCCCCGGGGGGTTTTAACAAGGCAGCTGAGGCACATCGTCCCGTGGGACCTTCTGATCCCGTCCGAGCGCAGGAGGGTGCCCCACAGCAGCACCCCATGCCGCCCTCGCCCACAGCCCCCGAGCAGGACATAGACCTGCTCCTCCCCTTGATTTTCCTTCACCAAAGAGCCCCAACCATGCAAATACAATCTCAGCCATTTGTGGGTTTTAAAATTATTTATTTATTTTTAATATAAACAAACCTGCACAAGCCACGGACTTTTGCCTTACAGCGGCAGAGCTGATACGTTTATCTGGCTGGTGCCCTACCCATAATGAAAATACCGCTGCCCTGGCTGTACAGATCATCTCATGGTCAAGCCGTTTGCTCACGGGGCTGTTGAAGAATTCAAAGATTTAAAAGAAAAAATAATAAAATATAGGTTGGTTAAGCAGGATCTGCAGCCTCGTGGGTTAAGTTGGGACCCAGAGCGGGGTCAGGGAGTGACTTGGGAGCGTTTGACTCAAGGTAGTTCTGAGTTCACAATGGATAACCGGGTCTGTGCGGGCTTCCTTTTTCAGTGAGCAAGGGGAGAGGGGAAAAGCTCCAGCTGGGATGGGAGCAGAGGGGGTGGATGAGCTGGGACACCTCGTGGACATTCAGTCCTCTTCAATATATTCATCAACGACCTGGACGAGGGGATGGAGGGTCCCCTCAGCAAGTTTGCTGACGATACAAAACTGGGAGGGGTGGTTGACACGATGGAGGGCTGTGCTGCCATCCAGCGAGACCTGGACAGGCTGGAGAGCTGGGCAGAGAGGAACCTGATGAACTTCAACGAGGGCAAGTGTTGGGTGCTGCACCTGGGGAGGAATAACCCCCTGCACCAGGAGAGGCTGGGGGTGACCTGCTGGAGAGCAGCTCTGAGGAGAAAGAGCTGGCGGTCCTGGTGGACACCAGGATGCCCATGAGGCAGCAATGGGCCCTGGTGGACACAAAGGCCAATGGCATCCTGGGGGGCATCAGGAAGAGTGGGACCAGCAGGTGGAGGGAGGTCATGCTGCTCCTCTGCTCTGTCCTGGGGAGGCCCCAGCTGGAGCACTGGGACCAGCTCTGGGCTCCCCAGTTCCAGAAGGACAGGGAACGGCTGGAGAGGGGACAGCAAAGGGAGACAAAGATGCTGACGGGCCAGGGGGGAATCTGATCAATGCTTGTAAATACTTCAAGGGTGGGTGTCAGGAGGAATGGGCCGGTCTTTTTTCAGTGGTGGAGACCAGGACAAGAGGAAATGGGCACAAACTTGAATATAAGAAGTTCCACCTAAACGTGAGGAGGAACTTCTTTCCTGTGAGGGTGGCGGAGGGCTGGAAGAGGCTGCCCAGGGAGGTGGTGGAGTCTCCTTCTCTGGAGACATTCAAACCCCCCCGGACACGTTCCTGTGCAACCTGCTCTGGGTGGACCTGCTCTGGCAGGAGGTTGGACTAGATGATCTCCAGAGGTCCCTTCCAACCCCATGTGATTCTGTGACATGATGTATTTGCTTAAGGTCCTCTCCTCCCACACTCTCTTTGGTACCAAGAATAATTGGTACCAATTATTGACAAAACCCACATCAATAAAAAAGCCTGAATGGTTGCAGGGATGTCCCTGGTCCGTGAGACAGGGGACGTGTCCCGCAGTGGCTGGGGAAGGAGGGAGGGTGGGGGGTGAAGACCTGCACCGAGGAGGCAGAGCTTTGCCCTGTGCCCAGCGTGAAGCTGGTGTGTTTAACCAGCACTGCCTCCACCCTCCCGGATAAACTTCGGCCGTATCACTATTTCCCAGCATGGCCCTGAGCAATCCAGCTCTGGTAAGCAGAGCCCAGCCCAGCCCAGAGGTCGTTTCTGTTTTATTGAGCACGTTTTCCACTCCTGGACTTTGGCTGCCAGGTGGTGCAGCTGCCCCAGCACAGCCCACGCTCCCCACGTCCTGGCACACGTGATGGGACCCTCATGCCGCTGCCCTCTCCCTCCAGGGACCTGCAGGGCTGCTCCTTCTCCCTCCACCCGTAAGAATAAAACAGTTTTGAGACCTTCACAGCGCTCTCGGAGCCGGGGGGAAGTGGGTTCTCGTGCTCTGGGAGCACAATTGGGTAATTCTTGCTCCTTGGCCCTAAAGGGACTCAGCAGTGTGTGATGATCCAACCTCGCAGGAAGAATCAGCCAAGCCCTCAGTCCAACCCCCCATGCAGACAAAGGGAGAATTTTCGTTTTAATCCCCCCTTTCCATCCTTTTTTTCCTCCCCCAAACTCTCAGCAACCCCATCAACAGGAAAATAAGTATCCCCCCTGACACTTTGTCCCTGCCCGCCCCCTGCACTCGCTGCCAGGCGGCTGGTGGGCAGCCAAGTTGGAGAAGAGTGCAGGAGGGCGGATTTTCTCCTTTTAGGGACAAAGTAGGGGAAAGGAGAAAGTTTCTTCCATTGAGTGCAGGAAGCAGCAGCAGACACCACCCAGAAGTGCCCTCATCACCTGCCATCGATCACGGCACCTTCTCATCACCATCCCCTGCCGCGGGGACCCGCTGCGGCACTGCTGGGCTTTGGCTTTTCCAGTCTCTCCCAGTCTCTGCTGCTCCGAGAGCGGCTGCGCTGGGACCCGCATCCTCCTCGGAGCCTCCCTGTGGGTGGAAGAAGAAATACAGCAGGACAGGTCCACACCGAGCTGTTCAAGCAGTTTAAACTCCATCCTAAGGTCCGGACCTACATAACCGAGATCCTCCCGCTCCGGTGGGATGGCACCGCCGGTACCGGCCCCTGGGGAAGCGACCGGCAACTTTCAAATCCGCTCTCGGCTGAGACCTGTCTCGGCCCCGTCCGGCTGCAGGGTTGGCCAGGCACCAGGGACCCCATCTGCACATGCAAATATAGCACCCAAAGCTCTGAGCACAGACCACTTGGCTCAAAGACTTGGTTTTGTTAAAAAGACATTATTATTTTTTCTGCACAAAGAGGAACTAACCCACCCTGTCAGCACCAGGTTTCAAAGGAGGCCACAAAAAGAACACGCACCAAAAAAAACAAAGGTGAAAACTCCACATTTATTGTTCTTAAACCCATTTATTGACTTCACCACAGAAAAAAAAAAAAAAAAACAGAGAAGGAACAAGCTATTCCACACACAGCAATAAGCATCACAAAGGCCAACCCGGACCTTTCTGGCAACATCCCCCTCCTCAGCTGCGCCGTGTCATTCTCCTCTCCCGCTCCGCATGGATTCCAGAGTTGGACTCATCAGCAGTCACTCCTTGTGGGGCCTAAAAAACCAAGCAACACAAAACCACCATTGAACGTACAAGAAGTCTCCAGCCCCAGGTGCCTCCTCTTTACTACCTGGCTCACCTCAAACGCTCATCCCGTTTCAAAGGCAGCCCCCACAGGGCCTGCAAAAACAAAGAAAAACACTTCACTGAGCTGCCACATGATACTTTGCTATTAGACACCGACCCAACCCACAACAGCCTCACCGTCACAAACCGCTCCTCAGTGTGCGGCGTCGCCCCTCCAAACCTGTGTGTGGCACCTGCACATACTCCACCAGCAACACAACACCTGAGAAAGAAGTGGATAAGAAAAAAAAAAAAAAAAACAGTGCAAAGAAACTTAAAAAAAATCTGATCCTTCAAAGCAATTTGCATTTCATTGCAGCAGAAAACAAACCATTTGCTGATTCAAACTAGCAAGGCAGCTGGCCTAAAAGTAGTAACATTTGGCAAAAAACCATCCATACCGACAGATACCATCCATTCGAAAACGTGTCGTGTCCCAAGGGAAAAGGTTACACGCACCTTGACCAGTTTGAAACACATTGCATAAATTTAAATAGCATCAAAATCAACAAATTGTGTCTCACTCCCAGACGTTTCACGCAGCTGGGACAATTTCTGTTGGCAGAAGAAACGTGCCACCCCTGGGAACCACAGGGCTGCAGATTCAGGGGGAAATTCCCCCAATTTAGCCCAGTGTGAGCTCTGCCTCTCCCCAAACCCTCCCCTTCCTGGGAAATGGGCATCTCTGTCTTGCCTGAGCCCTGGTGGGCGCCAAGCAAAGCAAGGGCTCTGTACATTCTCGTTAACGTAACTAATGAGCTCACACTCGGTACAACCAGAGGGTGGTTGAGGTATGAGGGTCCCGCTCTCCCAAGAGCTCCCTCCTCGCTTCCCTTCGCTGTCACCAGCTCACTGCTGGAAACAGGGTGGGATTTCCAGCACCGCTCGGGACGAGAGGGGACCGGAAGGCATCAGGATAGAAAAGCAAGCAGATGGTGGAAAAAAAAAAAAACAAACAACTTTGTAAGTTATTTTTCAATTAAAAAAAAACAACAAAAGGGACAAAGCAGGAAAACAGCACGCACACTCTAAAAATTCAGGGGTGAGCAGCTCAGGGGCACGTGGGATTTCACATGTTGGAAGAGGTTTTCCCCTCACCCCCGCAGCCACCAGACAAAAGCCCCCCCCCCCCCCAGCATCCTGCCCACAAACACCCAGGACAACCATCCCCGACTCCTGCGGGATCTCTCCAACAGCCTGGGCACGGGAGTCCCCTCCCTGTTCAGAAGGCACATTTCCCCCAACGGTTACGTTCCCAGACTTTTCCCCCCCCCCCATCCTTTCTCTTCCCTCCACCTCACACACCCGTTCTCCAAAATAGCTTCTGCAAGTGCTTTTAGCATCAGAAAAAAGTTTCCTACATAAACCTTGAGAGCTATTTAAAGCCAAGAAGGACTTTGTCCCTCTTTTTGTGCTTGCTAACAGCTAGCAAAAAGAAAAAAGAAAAAAAAAGATGATTTTTTTCTTTTGGAAGAGAGAAAAACAGGGTGGAAAAAAATAAATACAGCTGTAACTTTTATGTCCAGACAAGGAAATGTCTTTCCCCTTGTCAAATATGACTATCTTTAGCAACCACAGGGCAGATTACCAATTGTTCACAACCTCGGGAAGGCTTTCGCAGCCAGCTGGAGGGAAGTCACCCCGACCAGGATTCTTCCTGCGCAGCCGGGCAGCGGGTGCCCAGGGAGGGTGACTCACAGCCAGCACAAGCTTCGGGTGCTCATGGGCACCCATGCGAAGAGCTCTCTGTGCCTCATACCAATTTATTTCTGCCCATATTGGAAAAAACAAAAGCACAAGCCGGGCAGGGCAGTTCACACCCTCTGCAGAAACGTCCCGTCTCAAACAAACATCTTTGGAGTAGAACTACAAAACTAAGAACAACCTCACGACTGTAACTCATGAATCAGCGGGTTTTGCTGCCTTAAATATAACCAGTGTGTCCCGGGCCTCAGCAGAAGCGCTCCATGGAGACACCAAAGTTACCACCTCAGAGACAAGCAGCCGGTTACACGTACATTTGACCACACAAAACCCCTTGGAGCTGGGGAAGAGGGGGAAAAGGCCGTGCCGGCTGCAGGACAAGCCCTGTCCCGTGCTGGCTGCCTGCTCAGGAGGTGACCTCGGGGAGGAGACGCCCCGCGGTGACTCAGGGGTGGAAAGGACGGCACACGTGTTGCCGGCTACGAGGGTTTGCCAAGGCAACAGGCACTGCTGAGGTGGAGCAGCCTGGGGACCAGCAGCCCCCTCACCGCTCAGCCGGGCAGAGCAGCACTTCTCCAGCCAGAGCCAGCACTGAGCGCTCGGCCACGGGGAGTCTACACACGTGGAGGCTCCTTCAGTGGAGCTGGACACTCCACGGCTTCAATACTGCACTTTTGAAGTGCAGGACTGCAAGTTCCTTCATCCCAAACGCTTCAGGATTACCGTATGTTTTACATTACCACATAACTCCGTTTTAGAAGGGGGGGAGGAAAGCAATTTTCTAAGGCAAAATGTGCTACAGCTACACCGCTGCAATTTGGCACAAAGCTTTCTAAGCCTAACCTGCCTTCTTCACAGCATCACACACCACCATCACCTGAGTGCAAACGTCTGAACTCTGGGGAACACAAGGGAAAAGACCCCCCTGGAGCAGAAGATGCGGGTGAGGGAGTTTAAGCTACAACCCCAGGGCCAAAGCCCGCTCCAGCCTTTCTGAAGATGTGCAGAGAGAATCTAGATGATAAACCCTAACATTGTCTTCATCACAGAGAGAGAAAATAATCGAATCACGTCAGAGTCCTTGGCAGATCACTTCCAAACTAGTGCAATCAGTCACGTGCCAAACTTCAGCATCCAAATACGACGGACAGAAGAGAAGAAGGTCTGTGTCTCAGGCAAGACCGTGCTGGTTACAAAGGCAGCTCTATGGTTCTGGCAGGGGAAGAGTCAGATGGCTCATTTCACAGGCGCATTTATTGGAGACATCAGTACAGTAGACAGCAAATTCCACTTCATTTGGACACATAAGTTCTGTCAAGTGCTGGGCATTGGCTTTCCCTGGGTCAGAAGCCCAAGTGGAAAACGAGTTCATCTTCAGGCAGCTGGGAAAGGAGAAAGGCGTTTCAAGGAAGTGAGAGGTTTAACGTTACCAAGGTGCAGGTGCAAAATGAAAAGCATTTCCCCTTCTTCCTGTTGTCTGAAATCTGAACACGGCAGCACAGCTGCAACTCGGGGAGCTACAGCGGGGGAGTCCCCACGTGCCTGCGTTGTCATCACCAGCCGTCATTATTCCACTGAATATCCGAGGAGGAATCTAGATCTAGAAAGGCAAAAAGAAAGATTTAAACAACTTGAAAGCTCAGCATGGCTCTTCTACTCAGTGGGCTGAGTGTCTCTAATGAGCTTCCAAATATAAACCAAGCTCCTTCTAACTGCCTGCCTGCTGTACAGTGCCTCAGGGACAAGGCAGGGAATTCCTGGTGAGGGAAACAAACTCCCCAGATATTGGTGATACTAAACAGGGAGGCTCAAGCAGGCAAACTGTCTTGATGACACTCAGATGGTGTCCCCAGCCAGGCACGGCTGCAGTTCAGGAAGGGAGAGCTGAGCTTCCACGGCAAACAGTGCACCATGCCGCTGCAGAGCTGACTGCACGCTGGGGCCAAGGCTACCTGGAGTTTTATATAAGCCAAATCCCCAACAGTGCTTGGAAACAGCCACCATCACACTCCCCCCAAATACTGACAGCCTTCTGAAAGGCTAAGTTTCAGCATAACTTTTTCATCTTTAAAAGATTTTCTTTCCTTGTCTCCTCCTCCTCCCGTTGCAGACACTTTTGACCTCAAAGACAGTACATGAAAAAAGTTTCAGGGGGAGAAAGGAAGGGAATTGGCCCCAAATCCAGCCCTTCTCCTGCTAAAAACTTCTTTGAAAGAGTCATTTGAGTCACTGACAAACTATTTTTCAGCCCACCTGAGCTCAAGACTCAAACCTCTGCTGTTAGCCCTCTGTGCCACCATTTCTCAGTGTTACTGCTTCCGTTTTCTGGCAAAACTCTGTTTCTAGAACAAGAAACTAAAAATTCTGCTTTCCAGTAACAACTAAGCAGGGGCTTTGTGACCATTTCTATATGTGAAAAGCCACTGTATTGCTTACAGCGTACACCAGGCACTGCAACCTTCTCCCAGCCCGCCTGCCTCCTGGGATGAAGCAGCACCTGTTTTGGGGGGAGATCTTACCTTTTGATCCAGTCGCTGATAATCACCAGATTTGGGCCGTCGACCAGTTTTTGATCTTTTTCCTTCCAGAGCAAAAGCAATGATCTTTGGAGACAGAAGCGGGGACAAGGTGAGTGGGACAGTAGTGACCAAATAAGCCTTTTCTCACCAGAAATGCAGGTGCTTTCTAATGGGCCGAAAACAGCTTCACTCACCTCCTCCTAGTGACCATATTTAATTTGAAAAAGCACTCAAAGCAAATAAATGCGAATATATAAACCCAGCTAAGATGGAGAGCAGATGAAGCCTAACATGCAGAAAACAGTAAGAATTTGTTTTCTTTCTCCTTCCTCAAAAATAGCTTTACAGGAGGAAAAAAAATTAAACTAAATAGACAGTTGTGTAGTTTGAGCTGCAAGACTATTTAAGGCCAAGTCTTCTGCAACCTGCTATAGGGGTAACTCCACAGATCTTTCCTTTTTCATCTCCCTCAGCTGAAAACAACCACCAGAGCTGAGGCCACCCAATTTCCAGAGATCTGACCCCATCCCCAGTTACCACACCCGCCGTGCTCCTCCCAAAGCTGTTGGGACTGAGGCTCGAATGAACATTAACCAAACCCACACCGTGCAACAAGAAGGAGCTACCCGTGAGAAAGAAAAGTCAGGGTGAGGGATAAGGTCTTCAACCGCGCAGGTCCCACTGTGCAGCAGTGACCAGCGAGAGGAAAGGAAGCTCCTCAAGTGCAGAGGAGATGTGGAGAGCACGTCAAAAGCCACTCACCTTGCGTTTGTTGTGATACGCAACGTATAAAGCAGCAACAATAATAGCTGTGGTCACCAGGTAGGCAAAGAAGTGGCTGTTCTCTGACTGGTCCCTGGGGAGAGAATGAACATTCTTCTCTCTCTCCTTACTAAAGGAAGAGACATCATTGCCTTCTTTAGCCTCATCCTCTTCAGGGCTTTCTTCATTAACTAAAAAGCCATCGCTCTCAGCAGGGGAGGAAGCTGGTTGTGGTGAACTTTTATCTCTCTGTGAGTCCATTTGGTTACCCTGGTTCTCGTCGTTACTGTCCTGGTTCTCAACCTCACTGTCCTCATTCCTGTTCTCCTCATTCCTGTTCTCCTCATTCCTGTTCTCCTCATTCCTGTTCTCCTCATTCCTGTTCTCCTCATTCCTGTTCTCCTCATTCCTGTTCTCCTCATTCCTGTTCTCCTCATTCCTGTTCTCCTCATTCCTGTTCTCCTTGTGTACATTGTTGGTGTCCCCGTTGCTGCCCTGGTCCTGATTGTTGTCAGTGTTGTCCTGATTGTTGCCCTGGTCCCCGTGATCATCCTTATCCTGCTTGTTGCCATCCTGGTTCTTGTTGCTCTGCTTCTCCTTGTTACTGCCCTCATTCTCGCCCTGCCCATTCTCATTCTGGTTCTGGGTGTTGCGCTCCTGGTTTGTGTCGCTGCTGCCTGGGTTGCCGTCCTGGCTCTGGTCATGGTTGCCCTGGTTACTGGGGTTTCCGTTGGTCTGCTCACCGGGGTCATTGCTGTTCTGGTCTGTACCGGGGCCGCTGCTGTCGTGCTGACCAGTGTCTCTGCCATTGCCCTTGTTATTGGCACCGCCGTTGCTCTGGTTGTCACTGCCATTGCCAGCCTGACTGTTGCTCTGACCATTGCCACCCTGGCTGCTGCTCTGATTCCCCACACTGTTGCCGTTGCCAGACGTGCCCGTGCCCTTCGGGTCCTTCATCTTCTCTCCCTCGTTTGTGTTCGATTTGGTCTTTTCACCATTGGGTTGATGCGCTCCGGAGCGGTGCTCTTCAGTCTCTCTGGATGTATCCAGGTGCTGATCCCCTTGAGTTTCCTGGCCATTATGTGGTTCATGCTGGGAGGCTGCCCCACCGCCTGTGGAAGTTTTGGTGGACTCTGTTTTCTCTGAGTTCTGCCCGTCAGCTGCCAGCAAACACACAGAGCTCACAGTCACCGCCTGCCCCCACACTCGGTACCCGCAGGGCACCTGGCTGCCCGAGACAGCTTCCCCACCGCTGCCGAAAGGGGAAGGAAACTCCCCCACAAGGAAGGTGGCGGGGGGAGAACCAAAGGGGTGACAAACCCGCCCTGGGGAGCTCTCCCGACCCCCCGCCAGCCTCCCCACACCCGCAGAAGAGGCCTAACGACAGAATAGCCCTCGCAAACCAGGAGCCCGTGTCAGACCCTGCCTTGACTTCGCTTGCTCCCCATTCCCGACCCTGCCGGGTGCGCAGCCCGAGCACTCCCCCTCAGCGACCCCCTCCGCAGGGCACTCCCCGCCGGTCCCTCCTCAGTGGCCCCGACCCGGATCCCCCCCGGGGCCGCAGGCCCCTCTCACTGCCTTCCCCCAACCCTGCCGCCCTCCGCCGGCCTCTCACCTTGGGCTCGGGCGGCGGCGCAGAGCGCCAGGAGCAGCAGGAGCAGGAGCAGCCGCAGCGGCATGGCGGCCCGAGGGGACTGCCCGCTCCGCCACCCAGACCGCTTCCGGGGAGGCAGGCGCCGCTTCCGGCAGGAGATCTCGCGAGAGCGGGGAGGTGGCGGGGCCAAAAGGTGTGGGCGGGAGGGAAGGGGCGGGGCTTTTGAGATAGCGGGGGCGGGCCTTAATAGGATGAGAGGCGGTGCTTGTGGAGAACTGGGGCGGGGCTTAGGGAAGATGGGCAGCTGCTCTGACGAATTAGGTGGGGGTTATGCAAATTAAGGGCGGGGCTTCCTCATCCGCCGCTGGTGGCGGGCCTAGGCTTAGGGCTGGGCCTGGCGCAGGATAACGGCTGCGCCTTTGGGGTGAAAAGCAGCAGTTTGAGGCAAAACGTACCGGTTTCGGGGCCGCTTCCAGGCCCTGAGAAAGCAGCGCCGGGACTTGGTGAAGTGTGGCCCAAAAGGGGGCCGCCGAGCTGTGCTGTGGGGTGCCGGGCCCTCTCTGACCCGGGTCCGACCTGGTCAGGCCGTGTCCTCACCCGAGGGGATAAAACGGGCTGCAGCAGGGGACCCTGGTGAGAAATGGGGCTGATTTCCCTTCTTTTGGTTCAGGAATCCTTTCCCCAAGCGCTCCTGAGGACAAGAGCCGCATCAGGGGATTGCGGCCAGGCCAGCACCTCTGATAACCTTTTACTTATCTTTTTGGCCAGACCAGACGCATCCTGTTGAACTCCAGCTCTTTCTGCCAGAAGCAGAGAATCAGCTTTTGGCTCTCTGTGGGCACCGAGGGTTATTTACTCCTTTCCTCTGTAGATAATGGATGTGCTGAAGACTGTTAGGTCTCCCTTCTCCAGACTGAATGGCCATCTTTTGCTGAAGGTTTTGTTCTCCCTCTCTTCTGGGCTTTCTCCAGGCATTCCACGCCCTGAAGAATGCTGCCCAAAACTGGGGACGATCCTCCAGCTTGGTCAGCAGAACAAACAAGCATTTCATCATGTCTTACTGATCATGGAATCAGGGAATAATAATGATAATCCTACCTACCTCCAACCTCCCGCTCTGCTGCCTGGAATAGAAAATGACCTGTACTTGATGCAGATAAGATGTAGAAAGATTCTTAAGTCCACCTACCATCCTTCTGGCAGAGTCTGGGCAGCTGTGGGGGTCTTGAGCCCATAGCTGAGCTCCTCAGACGGATTTGTTGTCCTCAGGTGTGTGAACTGTGACCCTATAGCACTGAGCCAAGGATGGCACCAAGTGTCCTGGAGCTGTGATTGATGTCATCTCTGGTTGTCTCCCAGCTGTGCGTCACCTGCTGTGTCCAAAAGTTGTCGCCCACCTGCTGTCCCTGCTTTGCCTCCTGCTGTATTCCTTTTCCAGCAGATGTCTGGGGGATCCTCGTAAAACAAAGAGCTCCAGACCTTCTTTTTGGGTCTTCCTCGTGTTCATTACTGCTACCCAGTGACCTTGCACAGGTCTGTCTCTGTTTAGGGATGTCGACATGGGGGTGCATTGTTCTTCAAAAAGTTTCATGTCCAGCTTTTTCCCTGCCTGTCCTTTCCAAACCAGTTAGACCTTTGATACCAGTTTTCCAGGAAAATTAATTATGCCATCAAGTTTCTGTTACTTGGCTTATTAGTAACAATCCCCATCTGTTGTCCCTATCATCTCACTTCTTTCCTTCTAGATCAATGGATTTGCCTTCATCTCTGCCCAGGATGAACTTCCTCAGTGCTGAACCACTCCGGACTGCGTGTGCTTCCCGCTGGTACTGGTGTCACCCAAGCTGTCTCACCCATAATGCCCTGTCCTGCAGCACCAAGTGCTGAATGACAAGCAGCGAAGTCTCACGTGTCTCTGGAAGGAATCTCAATAACATCACGAATGCCTTAGCTGCTCCAGTCTGGACTCTTAATGCTAAAACACAGAAAAATATCAGAGCATCATTCAACATCCAAAGCAAATGAGTCCCACACAGCTATAATACTTTGGGGAGTAATCCTGACTTAGCCCCAGAGCGTGATGGATTATGTGGTTGATTTTTATTCTCTTTTTTTCCCATCCTCTATTCAATTCAATACATTCCAGTAATCCTACCAGCTTGGTTCTGTCCATGCCTGCCTTTCTAAGGAGACAGAAGAACAGTTGGCCTAGTGCTTTTGTTGAGATTTAAAACAGACAAGCGAGGCTATTTCTCATGCCCAGCCAGTTTGGCTTTCACTCACACCCCTGGAAGTCAAGAGCAACTGAACGGAGGCCAAGTTCCTCTGGATTTACAACAATGCATCTGGGAACAGAATCCTGCCCAAAATACCAAGTACAAGGCTGACATCAGCTCAGCACCCGGTGGCTCGCACCAGGCTCGTTTTCCTTCAGCAGTTTTCTTGGCTAAAAAGCAATAAACAGCGACCTCACCTAACCTCCCTGCGGCTGCACCCTCCCCACACAGCTCCCGGAACGGGAAGCTGCCATCGCCGTGGACAACAAGGAAGTTGCTTCTGGCTTCAGCACAATTATGCAGATGTAGACTAGGAGGAGGAAAAGAAGGAGGATTGAGGATTATTACCTCCATCCGCTGCAAAGCAGGAGGAGGAAATTCTTGTTCAGTCCCACCCAGCTGCTTCACAAAGTGGTGGCAGCTGCTTGTCCTTTATCACGTGAAAAACAACTCCTTTACATTCGCACTTAAGGGAGGTTTTGATTGATTTCTTAGACTGGTACTATCTCTTCTCATAAACACGAGGTGTCAGTTTTTGGGGAGGACTCTTTCTGAGAATAGCCACGAGGGCCAAGAACAGGCTGAACACACAAATCTGGCCTTTAATTTAGCACCGACCGCAGCATTTTAGCGTGGTCTCCCAAGGTCTGGTGACAACCTTGCTCTTGGAGATAATAAAGTTCTCACCTTGTCAGAAGCGTCTGCGTCCCCCATCCCGTCCCTTTCCCCCGAGGCCTAATCTGGTCAGGATAAAGGATCAAAAGGAGAAACAATTAGCAAATGGAGGAATTTAATGATGCTAATTAAAATGTATTAAGTGTAGCCACTGCCTCTGCACCAGCTGCTTTGGCAGGAGCCTGGAGTCTGCGGAGCGCCTGCTTCACCCCGGTGCAGAGCAGGGAAACAGGACATCTGGTGCGCCCCCACCCCGGCCCCTCGCAAAAAAGCAGGTTCCAGGAAACCTTCATTTCATTTGCTGCTGCTTGCCGGGTTCGTGGCGGAGCCCCTAATTAGCTCCATCTCTGCAGGAGACCCCTGGGACCTCATTAGGCATTTCAATTAGTGAATAGCCAGAGCTGTGGAGGGAGAGGGGGCTGGGGGCTGTTTGATCAAGATGGCTGCAATTAAGCAAGCGGGTGGAGGTGACAGAAGTAACCCTGCTTCCAAAAAACCATGGGGAAAGCACCAAGCTGGCTCCCAGATGCTACCCGTGCACCAGAGCAAGCTCTCCCAGAAGTTTGCTCTCAACAAGCTCTTAACGAGACGTTTGCCAGCTCCTGGCAATAACCCCCACACACAATAGCTGTGGGGAGTTTAGGGCTGAGCTCATCACAAAGTGACACCCTTTAATTGAGGTTTTAAGCCTTTTCTTACTGTACATCATGTTTCTGGACCAGGACAGACTGACGGGCACATCCTCCCCTCTCCCCTGTGCCGATCCTGGTGCTGCCCCATCTGCCACCACGCAGCCCAGCTCCCGGCCACCCCTGGCATGGCTCGGTGGCCATCGCTCACCTGGAGTGTTCCCAGCCAGGAGACAGAGGGCACTTCTTGAACTTGTTTCACTCTGGGAATGGTTTGCAACGATGATGAATGTGCATCTCCCAAGGATGCAGTGGCCTGTTCCCAATTCCTGCTTCATTCACCCGGCTCTTCCCAGCTCCCCCGCATGGCCATACCTCCTGCTGCTTCTCGGCACTTTCTACGTGGGCCTCCACCCCTGGAGGAGCAGGTCCATCTCACCCCACTTCCACCCAGCCGTGGCTCAGCCCCCTGCGGTGTTCGTACCATCTTGAGCTGTGCGTAACGGCAACATCTGCCACAACTGGGAGAGCAGTGGGGACCCCGTCATTGGCACAATGTCCCCCGTCCCAGCTGTTTCGTGCCTCTCAGCTAAGGCAGAATCTGGCTGTCCCACCTCTCCCTGCTCTTCACACCCTGCTCTCCCTTCCTTCTGCTGCCAACTCTCCGTGGGACACCATTCCCTCCCTCGCTTTTTCCCCTTCGTTGGGATGAGGTTGGGATGCACTCTATGAAAAAAAAGGTCATCTACAAAGCAGGACCAGGGAGTATGTGGTGGCATACACCTCGTTTTCGTAGGAGACTAAAGGAAAAATCCGCAATCTTTGGCTGTAAAACTGGTTTTTTTGTTGTTGGAAGTTTCAAAAGTTAATTCTTATAACTGGGGAATACTGCTAGAGAGCTCCCCAGGGCCTCCACGCACAGCTCTGCTCTGCACCCGGGGCTGCCTGCCTGCCTCAATTTCAGCTCCCAGATCTGAGCACAAGTTAAGCATTGTGAGAAATTTAGTCTAAAACTTGTCCAAAAAAGAGGAGAGGGGCTACCAAACCCCTCTGCTACAACAACCCAAACTGAAACACACCGGATATTTGGGTTTTTCTGCAACAAAGACAAACCCCAGTATTTTCCTCTGATTGAAGCACCTCACAAACGACAAAGAAAACCGTGCTAAGGAATCCATTTTCTATTGATAACCAGTCTGAATGCAAGATTTCATCTAGCCATATCGCTGTGAGCATGAAGGAAAGATAAAATCATAGAATCATAGAATTGTCCAGGTTGGAAGGGACCTCGATGATCATCGAGTCCAACCATCAACCTAATTCTGATAAATACCATCCCTAAACCATGTCACTAAGCACTATGTCAACCAATCTTTTAAATACCTTCAGGGATGGTGCCTCAACCACTGTTCTGGGCAGCCCATTCCAAGGCTTGATAACCCTTTCAGGGTAAAAATTGTTCCTAATCTCCAATCTGAACCTCCCCTGGCACAACTTGAGGCTGTTTCCTCTTGTCCCATTGCCTGTTCCCTGGGAGAAGAGACCAACCCCCCCCTGGCTACACCCTCCTTTCAGGGAGTTGGAGAGAGCCAGAAGGTCTCCCCTCAGCCTCCTTTTCTCCAGGCTGAACACCCCCAGCTCCCTCAGCCTCTCCTCACAAGATTTGTGCTCCAGACCCCTCACAGGCTCTGTTGCCCTTCTCTGGACCCGCAATAGATACCACGATCAGCCTGGTTCAACTGAGAGAGCTTCAGCGTGGTCAACTGAGACTGGAGCAACACATAACAGGTCTTGCCCTCTAGGAGGAGCGAAGCCATGAGGGCTTTGGTGGCCAGTTGCTTCTCTTCTAGCAGGGGATAATCCAAACCTGTCTCAGTTTAGGAGCACTGCACATCGGAACAGATGTTCCTTTTCTGTATGGGAAAATGCCGAGTAAAACAAAGAAATATTCTCCTGCTGAAGTCCAACATCTGTTTGAAGCTGTCTGGCTCGGGTTCAGACTTTAATTCTTGTGACAGGTCTCTTCATGCCTTTAATTTCCCATGAAATCTAATTCAAGAAGTTGTTTGTCTGCAGCCTGCTCCTGGTGTTGGGGAAAGCGAGGCTGCATGCAATCCAGACGTTCCTTGCAAAAAAACAGTTTCTTGGAACAGCCTTTCTAAAAAAAGCTGCATTTTGCCTCTTTTCAAATAACAGCCACGCACGTTTTCAGTGACACTCTAATCCCCTCAGTCCTGGATCTCGCACAACCACGCAACATGCTCTCAGGATGCCATTAATTAAAGCATCGTGGCTGGTCCTCTGGGTGCTGTTGTGGAGGAATCATCCCCTACCCCAGCATTTACAAATTTGTTCTTTGAAAGTAAGAACTTTAAATAATATGGTGTGTGGAACGGAAACGCCTACCCAGTTCAGGGCTCTCTTGGGTGCGACAATGACTTTGGTGGTGGCCACCAAGAAGCTGGTTTAGAGGAGCTGGGTCTGCTGCAGGCTCCTCTTGCTGCTCGAGGCTCTTAACTAGCTGGGATCCCTTAGAGCAATGAATTCGGGAGCGACCACCTAGCTGGGATGCTCTGAGCTGTGAATTTAAGCTGTCACTTCCAGTCCAAAAGATGATCCTCAGATGGATGGGAGAAGCTGTGGTCCTGCTGGAGGTACCATCACTGTTTGCAGAAGTCATCTGGAACTTTCACAAGGCTACGGGAGGCAATGTTTGCCCCAAAGGTGTCCCTGATGCTCATGCAAGGGCTGGAGGCTGTGTGCTGTCTGCACCCACATCTGGGGGCATCACTCAGCTGTACTTTTTGGTGGTTCTGCCCAGCTGCAATATGGAAATAGGAATCCTCAAATCCAGGTGTCATCTGCTGGGATTTACAGATGCCAGTGTCATCCCATGGCACACACTTGGCTCACTCAACATCTGCTAAATGCAGAAACTGTCTTCCTTAAGGACAAGATGGTCCCTTATCCCCTCTACCTGCAGATGGACATCTGCGGCTGCTCCAGCTTGATAAAAATGCATCCTCAGTGGGTTTTCACAACAGCTTGGCACTGGAAAGGAAAAGAGAAATGTCACAACAGGAGGCGAAGGTGTAATTTATCCCACGAAGTGAGAAAAAGCTCCCACCAAACTGTGCCAAGGGCCGGCAGCCATGGGAAGGGCTCAGACCATCACTGATAGCGATGGTTTGGATGTTGCCCACTGCCATGGGCAACAGGGGCCCGAGGACACCGTAGTCCCCACAATGGAACGCTGGTGCAGGCAGAGGGGAGCCAGAGTGGGTCCTGGGAATTGGAAATGGGCCACAAAATTCAGAAAGGGGAATGAAACAGGACTATAAACACCATGAAGCACCTTTGGGTGGGGGCAGCTCGGAATTAAATCTGCAACAGAAAACAAAATTACGACTTTCAGTAGGAAAACTTTGAGATAGGGTGGTTTTTTTTTTCTGCTAAAAACACAGTGAGACGGAAGAGTCTTGATTAGCTCAAGTGTTGAACTGACGGAGAATTTAAGATCAGTTGAAAATCCACTGGATCACCCTGAGTTGCTTTTGTGCAGGTCCTTTTTCATCCTAATCTGTCTTTTCATTCCTGGTTTGGAAGAAGCAGGTGGAGGGCAGCCTGCAGTTCCCAGCCATGAGATACACACCAGTAACTCACACCCCTCGGCTTCTCAGGCACCCCCAAACTTATTTTACCTAATCCCCCGCCCGCCTCTTGCCAGCAAACCATACGCTGCCTGCTTGCTCACAGGTTTGTGATGGACACCCCACGATCACCCTGTGCCCATCGATGGAGGGAATGGTCTCAGGCTGGGGCCGTGCCTGGCCCCGTGCCCCACTCTGGGGCTGGACTGGAGCCCCGTCCCAAGAGGCTTCCCGGGGCTGGAGCGCTGGTGGAGACAAGGTGGCGATGGGCAGGGAGCGAGTGCTTCCCTCACTGACCACGCTCACGCAGCAAGTTGCAGCTGTAGTTTTATTTCCTTTTGTGAAAAATAACAAGGATTCAAGGGGGAAATAAAAACCCACCCAGGGCTCAGCCCCAGATCCTGCCCACCCCAGCATGACCGCAGGAAGGAGCAGGGCCAACGGCGCAGCATCCTCAGGGCAGGATGCGGCTCCTCGCCAGGACAGAGCAAAGGGTGATCACCGTGGTGAGGAGCAGAGCCGCGGGACGGGAGGATTTGGGATCATCCAGAGGCACCGGGTCAGCAGCCGGCGTTTCTGCTCTTGCCTCCGGGATGGAGCAACGGCCCCAGCTCCACGCCTGCCGCGTTGGGTGCCGGCGTGCCTGTGCATGGCAGCACTGGCCATCGGCATCACCATGCCCTGCGGCAGCAACGGACACTCGGCTCATGCCCATGTTTGGCTCATGGGAGATTTCCATTGTTGGCAGCTTGTGGTGGGTTTCTTTTTTTTTTTTTTCCTTTTTTTCCTTTTTTTAATAAAAATGGTCTTTAGGTCGACTGCTGGCAGCAGCTCTGAGCAGAAATCCCCCTCCTCCAGAGTCTGCTTACAAAACAGTTCAGAAAGGGTCAAATATTGACCAATAATGGTTTTGGCTGCATTTGAATCTTGATTGTGGCTTCTGCAATGTACAGCAGGGAGGGCATGGATGGGACGGGGTGAGGGGAGATGAGTTTTTTCCCTTAGTCAGCAGGTTTGGTGACCAGGGAAAGGGGCTGCGTCTGCAGCACAGCCAGGGCAGCCTGCGGAGACGGGATGGTGGCCGCGAAGGACGGAGGCGAGGACAGGAGAGCCGTGGAGGGCACCGAGGTGAAGGGGATGGGTCTGGAGAGGAGCGAGGGCGGGCTGCTGAGGCTCGAGGAGGAGGAAGATGAAGAGGAGGAGGAGGAAGAAGAGGCGGCTTTGCTGGAGAGGAAGGCAGCCGAATGGACGGTGAGCTGAGCCCTGGCCTCCGGCTTGGTGGTGAGCGAGAGGGGCTGAGCCTGTTCCGAGTGGGTGGCAGCCGGCGCGGCCGGAGAGGCCAGGGCAGCCGACGGTGTGGCGGGCGAATCCAGCATGCTGCCGTGGGAGGAGGCAGGGCTGTCGCAGGGCTTCTCGGCTGGCAGGTACTGCACGCAAGGCTTCTTGCTCTTGGACGCCAGGGAACCTGCGCGGGACGGAAGAGGATGGCATGAGCGACCAAAGCCCGGAGCAGGGAGGAGGCTGCCAGGGGAGATACTCACCCTCCATGTCGTGGCTTTGCTGCTGGGCCAGCTTCTCTCGCTTTCTCTTCTTTTTCTTGCCCTGGAAAATATTACAAAATCAGTCGGTGGCTTTCTGCCACTGGAGAGCCCTTGGGGGCTGCTTGACAGAAGAGAGATGGGGCTGACGGTGCCCACGGCAGCTTGCGGGGATGCAGCAGAGCATCCCTGGGGACTCGACGCCATTGCCCACCGCCCCCCGTAATCCCAACAACCGACCTCCCTGAGCTCGGCGAGCAGCCTCCCACCAGCCAGACCCCCAGAGAGGAGCCACCTGGGAACCCGGTGTGGGGACAGAAAGGGCCACCCCCTCTCAGCTGGTCCCCATGGCCGTGGGGCCTGGGGGAGACACACGTACGTAGTTGTCCCGCGCCGACCACGTCGGGTAGAGCTGGGAGTGCAGCTGCCGCTCTTTCCGCGCCAGCTCGTAGTACTTGGCCTGCTCCTCCCGCGACAGCGAGTGCCACTGCAGGGGGAGAAGAGACCACGCTGCAACCCCGCCCAAAGCCACACTGCAAACCCCAAGTCCTGCTGCTGGCCCCGAGGATGCGCTGCCGTGGGGCTGCAGGGATCCCAGCCTGCCCCATCCCGTTGCCACCCAGGTCCCCAGCAGCTCCCTGGGACCTCCTGGGCTGGCAATGCCCCGGGACAAGGGACCGAGTCATGCGAGAGGTGGAGCAAAGGGGGCTGAAAGCCATTTTAAGGTCACAGATGGGGCAGTGCGGGGCACGAAGCCGGTGCTAAGGGAGATGCCTGTACCCGTCTGCCCAGGATCTGGTTGATGGCAGCACTCTCCTTCAGAGTGCACTCTGCCACCACCTTGGCCCTCATCTCCTTCATGTACAACATGAAGGCATTGAGCGGCTTCTTGATGTGGGGTTTCTTCTCCTCCTCCTTCTTCACAGTGATGGGAGATTTCCTGCAACAAGAGGGATGGTGGGTCAGGACCTGCTCTGCCCGAAGGGGATGAGTTTCCATCCCCGGGGCTGTTCCGTCCCTGACTCACGAGTTGCCTCCAGGGCTGACGCTGGGCTGGGTGGGTTCCTGCTTCACGATGGGCGAGACAATGGTCGGGTGTGGGATGCCCGAGGGGTGCAGCCCGTGGGTTGGCGGTGGGACCACGTGCGGGGAGAAACGGCTGGACATCAAACTGCAGCAGAGGGAGCGGTAGGGGAGGGCTCATCAGCTCCCCACGGGGACCAACAGCCCCCCATTTCCACCCCAAACCCTCCTGAGAACCTCCTGTGTTGAGACCACCAGCCCCAACCCAGTTGGGGTCTGGTTTAACACTGGAATTTGCCCCACCTTGCAGGTGGGTACATGGACCCAACTTAAGTGATGTCCTGAGCCCATGGGACGTCACTTTTTCCCCATAGCATCACCAGTGGGGACCATCTGCACCCTCCTGGGGGTATTTTCAGCTCAAGAGGCCACCAGAACCTTCTGAGGCTGCTCTGTGCCCATGCAAAGTGGGGTGTCCCCAGTAGCACCCACTGCTGACGCTGCTGCGGGGCCACATCCCACATCATCCTCAGGGAAGATGCCAAAACCCCCCTGCCAGCTCTGGGGACACCCGAGGAGGGTCCCTCCTCCCTGCTGAGACCCACCTGGACATGGAGGCGTTCATAGCGAGGGCAGGGTAGGGGTGCCGAAAGCCACCAGGAGGAATGGAGTACACGGGCTGTCCTTGCCTGCAAACGCACAAGCTTTAGTGGGAAAAAAAAAAATCCCTTCTCAATTCCCGGGGGCCCTCAAACTCCTCCCTGGCTAATCTCCATCCTGACGATTCCCAAAATGCCCAGCGCTGGGGAGTCCTTCCCTCCTCACCCTCTGTGGGAGCCCTCGGCATCCCACCGAGCCCGCAGGGGAAGAAGTGGATGAAAGAAGGAAGAGGAGGAGGGTCTCGGGGACACTAGGCTCCCAGGGACAGGGACACAGAGGGGACAGTGAGCCCCCAGCCCATCCTTACTGTGGCACGAGCCAGCCCAGCGGGTGCGGGATCTGCCCCACGGCTCCTGGCGACAGCGGGTAGTAGGGGGGCAGCTCCGATGGGTGCGGCGGCCGCGGGATCCCTGCGGAGGGAGAGGGGGACAGAGGGGAAACGGTGTGAAAACACAGGCATGGCAGCCCCCGAGCACCCTGCCTCTGAGCACCCGCTCTCCCCCTGAGCACCTCGTCGGCCTCTGAGCACCCAGTCTCCCTCCAAGCATCCCACCTCCCTCCGGGCACTCCATCTTCCTCCAAGCATCCTGCCTCCCTTGGAGCATCCCACCTCCCTCTGAGGATCCTGTCTCCCTCCCAGCACCCATCTCCCTCCCAGCACCCTCTCCCCTTCCCAGCACCACCTCTCCCTCTCAGCACCCCATGTCTCTCAGAGCATCCAGTCTGCCGCCAAGCACCCCATCTCTCTCCAAGCACCCATCTCCCATCTTCCTCTGAGCACCCCATCTTCCTCTGAGCACCCCATCTTCCTCTGAGCACCCCATCTCTCCCCCAGCACCCATCTGGGGTAGGGAGAGGATGCTGAGACAACCGTAAGAGACCTGGAGGGATCCCCATGCACCCCAACCAAACCCATGACCAGGTGAGAACCCTTCCCCAGCCACTGTCCCCATCCCCTTCCCACCACCCAGGAAGCAGAGGAACCATCCGTTGGAGAGCATCCCATTCCCAGCATGGCACCGATACCGTCACAGTCCCTTTGCTCCCCAGAACACGCCCGATGCTGTGTCCCCTCCCTGTGCTCACCCGTCTTTGGGTCGATCTCCGGCGAGAGGTGGCCAGGTGGCGAGCCTGGTGAGAAGTGGTCGTTGCTGTAGGTGATGAGCGGGGTCAGCGGGTGCATGTGATGGGCGTGCTGCACCACCGGGACCTTGTTCGACTGCAGGGCAGTGAGGGAGAGCTCGTGGGAGGGTGAAAAAACCCCCAACGCCCCCCAGATCCTCTGCCATGGGCATTGTATCAGCATCACAGGGGGCTGGAGCGGGGTTTTCCCCCGGGAAACCCATCTCCCCCGTGGGATTTGGCTGCTCTTACCAAGTGTGCGGGCGAGGGCGAGCGGCTGTCCTTCAGCGTGGCACCGGCGGGTACGTCCAGCAGCGGCCACTTCATCTGCAGATACTGCAGGAGAGCGGGGCTGATTGCCCTCCACCAGCCCTGAAACACCCCCCGGCCCCAAAACACCCCCGTGCCCTGCAAAGGACACCCTGACCCATTGATGACACTATGGGCTGGTGGCAAAGGGGTTTGGGGGGGCACAGGGAGCCATATAGCCCTATACCCCCCTACAGACCTCGTCAATAGTGCGAAGCCCCAAATGATGCAAAGACCCAAATCCTAAATCCCACACCCCCGCCCCAAAGGATAGAAAGCCCCACATGGTACAAAGCCCCAACTCTCCACCCCAAATGACGCAAACCCCCAAATCCCTGCTTGACGCTGTCTCGCTGGGAATCCTCCCACCTCCCCTCCCCTCAATTTCCCCCCTGCCTGCACCAGTGCCACCTTTCCCTACCCCAAAACCAGCCTTTTTAGAACAGCATGAGCCACGGTTGCCTGTGGGGTTCAGCCTCGGGTGGTCCCCGTGCTGGGGGCTCCCTCCCTGTCCCTCCCCGAATTGCCAGGGTGCGAGAAACTGACCCCGAATTGCAAGGAGAGGTGGGGGGAGGTGAATATGGGGCTTTTCGAGGGGCTTTTCCCCCTCGCCACAACACAGGGGTTTGTCTCCCCGGCACTGGACGTGAGCAGCCCCCGAAAGAAAGGTGCTTTGTGTGGCGATTTCGGTGGAGGGGGCCGGCGGCATTTCCCGGCAGACGGCGGGAGGGAGGCGCGTCCCGCGAGATGCCGGGGCTGGGGAATGTGGCCTGGACGGGCTGCAGCTGCGCGCAGGAATTTTCCCCCAGTACAAACCTTCCTGATCCGAAGCAGCTGGAAGGAAAACCCAGCGAGGAGCTGCGGGGAGCGTTAACTCTTCCATGGCTGGGCAGACACATCCCCAGTGCCTCCTGCAGCCCCCAAGAGTGTCCTGTGTCCCCCCCCCAGCATCGCCTCCTGCTTGTCTCCAGCATCCCCTCCTGCTTGTCTCCAGCATCCCCCTCTGCATCTCCAGTATCCCCTTCCTGCATCTCCAGTGTCCACCCTCCATCTCCAGTATCCCCCCCCACCTCCAGCATCTCCAGTATCCCATCTCCAACATCCCCCTCCTGCTCCAGTATCCCCTTCCTGCACCTCCAGTATCCCCACCATCTCCAGTAACACCTCCTATGTCCCCAGTATTCCCTCCCTGCATTTCCAGTACTCCCCCCTTGGTCCCCACTATCCCCCCCCAGATCCATCTCCAGCACCCCACCTCTTTCATCTCCAGCACCCCCATCACTCCCCTCCTGCTGGCACCCAATGCCTCTGGGCAAGCTCCAGCCCCACCACCGTGTCCCGGCAAAGCCTGGCCAGGATGCAGCACTGCTCGTGGGGACGATCCTGCTGCCACACCGGCCACCCCGTGCCGATGGCACTGCCACCGAGGCACCACAGGAAGCCCCATGGCACAGTCCCCATGAAGTCTGGGATGAGGATTTCCCATCACCCAACCATTCCTGCTGCCACCAGCGCCGGGATCCCCCCAAATCCTGCTTCAACCCCCTCAACCAGGTGCCCTCTGTCCCATCCCCGTCCTACGCATCCTGGCCCTGACACCTCTGGGCAGAGGGATTTTGGCACTGCCGGGATAATGCAGACAAGACGGACCCGTGGGTGCTGGGGAACCACAACGGGACCCGGCCCTTGGCTGCTCCTCTGGAGGCCGGTGGCAGAGGAGGCCGGAGCCCAGGTGCTCTGCGCGCTCGGGGCACGCTCGGTGTGCAAACAGCCCCGTGACCCGCAGGCTTGCGCCGCGACCCCCCGCACACCCTGTGCTCCCCGGTGCGGCGGGAGCCGTCTCCTAATGCGCCGGCTTTGATGTGTCCTCCAAACCGGGGAGATCAAAGCCGGCGGGCTGCGGCGGCGGGGAAGCCCCAGGGTCTGGCTGCCGTACAACTCCGGGCTGGCTCCGAAGAGCTGAGCGCTGCCAGCACCACCACCAAAGCAGCCGTGACGCACGGGGTTTGGCCAGAGACGCTCCTGGGCCAGCTGCGGTGGCTGGGGCCACGCTGGAGGGTCCCTGAGCATCTCCACAGCCACGCTCTACACTGTGTCTCTAAGCACCATGTCAACCCGTCCTTTAAATCCCTCCAGGGATGGTGCCTCAACCACTGCCCTGGGCAGCCCATTCCAGGGCTTGATAACCCTTTAAGGGTAAAATTTATTCCTAATCTCCAACCTGAACCTCCCCTGGTGCAACTTGAAGCCGTTTCCTCTTGTCCCATCACCTGTGACTTGGGAGAAGAGACCGACCCCCCCTGGCTACACCCTCCTTTCAGGGAGTTGGAGAGAGCCAGAAGGTCTCCCCTCAGCCTCCTTTTCTCCAGGCTGAACACCCCCAGCTCCCTCAGCCTCTCCTCACAAGACTTGTGCTCCGAGATATCCAGACATCCCCACCCGGCAGGCAAAGCAATGTGTGAGGTGCCCCTGAGCATCCCCATGGCTGTGCTCAGGTGGCACACGAGATGTCCCAACATCCCTGTGACTGGCACAAGATGCCCTGGGCCATCCCCATGGCTGTGCCTGGGTGACACGCCAACTGTCCCCACACCCCTCACGAAATGGGATTCCTTGAGCATCCCGGTCGCCCCACTGGGAGGGTCCCCCTCCCATCCCCAGCGCCCCCCGCACCGCCACCCGAGGTCCCCCACCATCCCCGGAGTAGGGGGGATGGGGCCGGGCAGGAGGTGCACGGTTCAGTGGTAATGTGGAAAAATGAAGTTCCCCCCCGCCCCTCCTCCTCCTCTCCCCTCCCCTTCCCCTCGGCCCCAGCCTGGACACAGCTCCCACTGTACCACCACGTGCGGGAACTGGGCGCAAGCGGCAGATTGGAGCTATTAAACAAGCTGTGCTCCCCGGTGCGGCGGGAGCCGTCTCCTAATGCGCCGGCTTTGATGTGTCCTCCAAACCGGGGAGATCAAAGCCGGCGGGCTGCGGCGGCGGGGAAGCCCCAGGGTCTGGCTGCCGTACAACTCCGGGCTGGCTCCGAAGAGCTGAGCGCTGCCAGCACCACCACCAAAGCGGCCGTGACGCACGGGGTTTGGCCAGAGACGCTCCTGGGCCAGCTGCGGTGGCTGGGGCCACGCTGGAGGGTCCCTGAGCATCTCCACAGCCACGCTCTACACTGTGTCTCTAAGCACCATGTCAACCCGTCCTTTAAATCCCTCCAGGGATGGTGCCTCAACCACTGCCCTGGGCAGCCCATTCCAGGGCTTGATAACCCTTTAAGGGTAAAATTTATTCCTAATCTCCAACCTGAACCTCCCCTGGTGCAACTTGAAGCCGTTTCCTCTTGTCCCATCACCTGTGACTTGGGAGAAGAGACCGACCCCCCCTGGCTACACCCTCCTTTCAGGGAGTTGGAGAGAGCCAGAAGGTCTCCCCTCAGCCTCCTTTTCTCCAGGCTGAACACCCCCAGCTCCCTCAGCCTCTCCTCACAAGACTTGTGCTCCGAGATATCCAGACATCCCCACCCGGCAGGCAAAGCAATGTGTGAGGTGCCCCTGAGCATCCCCATGGCTGTGCTCAGGTGGCACACGAGATGTCCCAACATCCCTGTGACTGGCACAAGATGCCCTGGGCCATCCCCATGGCTGTGCCTGGGTGACACGCCAACTGTCCCCACACCCCTCACGAAATGGGATTCCTTGAGCATCCCGGTCGCCCCACTGGGAGGGTCCCCCTCCCATCCCCAGCGCCCCCCGCACCGCCACCCGAGGTCCCCCACCATCCCCGGAGTAGGGGGGATGGGGCCGGGCAGGAGGTGCCCTCGCATCCCGACGGGCGCCTCGGCCTCCGCCTCGCCGTCCCCTGCCCACTGCCCCCCTCACAAAGGGGGCTTTCTGGGCTATTCTGTAAGCGGAGAAGCCGCTGGGGGATGGCGGGTGGGGAAGGGCCGGGTTGTATAAAAGGCTGCTTCTCATTTTGAAGCCGTTTCAGGAGGCCGGGGAGGGGAGAGGAAGGGGGGGACCCTTTCAAAAAGATGGGAGTGATTAAAAAAGAAAGGGGGGAAAAAAAAAAAAAAAAAAAAAAGAAGAAGAAAATAGTTGAAAATCGGTCACATTCCAGAGAGATTAGAGCAAGTTCTGGTTCCTTGTTACCAGCCACCCCACAATTAAAAGCAGGGGGTTAACCCCTTCCGTGCCGGAGCAGCAGGACCACAATGGAGTCTCCTGTCTGTCCGTCAGTCCCTCCATCTGTCCCCTCCCTGGGGTGGGGGGGCCCCTCCAGCCGGAGGGAAGGTCGGTGGCAGCAGCTGGGGGGGTCGTGCCAGCAGTGGCGTTTCGCCTCTGCACTCGGGGAGGAGGCGCAGACGCCATGGGATCCCCTAATGCCCAATTAGAGACTTTAATGAGCGGATTTCCTCTCCTCTTCCGCGCACGGGGCTCCATCCCGGCTGAGGCGTTTTCCCTGGGAAGGGGGGAAAGTCCCAGCTGGCGGCAGAGCTGGCACCACGTGTCCCAACACCGTGTGTCCTGGCTTGACGTGTCCCACTGTGGCATCTCCTGGTGTGGTTTGTCCCAGCGTGGCATGTCCCAGCATCGCACATCCCAGTATTGCGTGTCCCAGCGTTGTGTGTCCCAGCATCGCCTGTCCCAGCATCGCATGCTCTGCTGCTGTATGTCACAGCATTAGGTGTGTGGACATCGTGTGTCCTAGAGTTGGATGTCCCAGCATCATGTGTCCTGCCATTGTTATGTCCCGTTGTCACGCATCCGAGCACCATGTGTGTCCTGGTGTCACATATGCCAGCACTGCATGTCCCGGTGTTGTGTGTCCTGGAGTCACATGTCCCAGGAGTGCACATCCCGGTGTTGCATATCCCAGTGTTGCGTGTCCCGGCGTCGCATGTCCCAGGGTCCATATCCGTGCCTTGTGTGTCCCAGCACTCTTTGTCATGGTGTCACGTGTCCCAGGATTGCGTGTCCCAGTGTCGCGTGTCCCACCGTTGCACATCCCAGCCTTGTGTATCTTGGTGTTGTGTGTCCCAGCATCCCAGATCCTACTGTTCCATGCCCTGGTGTCCTGTCCCAGGATCGCATGTGCCGGCATTCCCTGTCCTGCTGTTAGACCTCCAGGTGCTGCTGATCCTCCTGATGTTGCACATCGCAACGTTGCACGTCCCCACATCCCTTGTCCCCATGTCGTGTGTCCCAGTGAGACAAGGGGGCAGAGCAGGCTCCTCTCCGTGGGGCTCAGAGGCCACTGGCCTCTCATTTTGGAAAAAAAAAAAAAAAAAGGTCCTTTTGGGACCTGAGCTGACATTTTTCCAGGTAAAACATGACCTGCGAGTGCTGGGAGCAGAAAGCCTCTGTGCCAGCTTTTCCCTCTGCTTGCGTGTGGCTCCAGCCCTGGTCATCCAGAGATGACTCTGGAGAAGATCCAGGCGATGCTGGTACCCGATCACTTCATCCCCATCCCAAAAGCCCAGGGATGACCTGGGAAGTGTCCAGGGTAGCACCCGCTGACACGTCCCCGACATCCAACCCCCACCGAGACAGGAGGTGGGGGGGTATATGGTGACCCCAAATCACCCATCCCCATACTGTCCCCTTTTCCAGCCCCAATTCCCAGGTTTTTGCAAAGCCTCCAGGCTTGGCAAGCCCAAACACGGCCCTGCTGTAGCCCCTGCCGAGCCCCCCCAGCCCCCCTCGCTCCCAGCCTGTTTACACAGCTGCGGGATAACTGACAGCTCGCCCTTCCCCCTCCCACCTCCACTCCAGCCTTTTTTCCCCCAAATCCATCCCAAAACTGTGCCGGGGGAGAAGGGAAAGGCCAAGCATCGGGGCAGCGAATAGAGCTTTTTGAGATATTTAATGGAGCCCCCGAAAATCTTCATCTGGGTGTTGAATGCTCCGGTCCTGGGGCACCCCGAGATCCCAGTGCCAAGAAACATCACTGCCACATTTGGAATAAAATCAGCCAAATTTGGCTCCTAACAGCTCAGGGGGTCAAAGAGAGATGTGATTTTTTGAGAGAAATGGGCCTTCTACACTGTCTGATTTGATAAAACTCTGTGCCTGGGAGCAAAAAACTGGAAAAGCCCCAAATCTTCCCCAGCAGGAGGTCCTGGGGATGCTGGGGAAGAGAGTTTGGTGCAAAGCAAGATGTGGGGAGAAGGTTTTGAGGTGCTGAGCCCCGAAAAGGTGCGGGAAAATAGGGGAGAGGGAAGGGGAAAAAAAGGGAGGGGAAGGGGGGAGAGGAGGAAGGGGTGAAAGAGGAGAAAGGGAGAAAAGGGAGGAAAAATGGGGGAGAAGAAAGGGGGAGGAAAAAAAGGGGGACAGGAAAGGTGCAGGGAAGGGGAAAAGAGGGAGGGGAGGGGAGGAAAGGGGGGCAAAAAGAGGGTGGAAAAGGGGGAGAAATAAGGGGGAAGGCGGAGGGAAAGAGGGGAAAAAGACAGGGGAAGGATAGGTGAAAGAGGGGGGAAAAGGAGGGAAAAGAGGGGGAAAAGATGTAAAAGAAACAAAGGGGAAGAAAGAGGAAGGAAAAGGGGGAAAAAAAGGAGAAAAGGGAGGGAAAACTCCTCCCTGAAGGCAATCACAGGGCAGGGACAGCGAGTGCCATTCGGGCAAAAGACAAGCGGCCGGGCTGGGGCCAGCCAGGGGGGTTTGTCCCCCTGGGGCTGGAAATGGCCAGGAAGGGGCCAGAGAGGAATGGGAAGAGGGGACACAGTTTCTCACCATCCTGCACTGGGTATCGGGTGTCCCTTGAGCTCAAATAAATCACCGTAATGCCCAAGAAAGTGGGGGAAAACCCCCAAAAGCATCCTATCCCCACCCAGCCCATCGCCTGTCCCGCATCCCCAGGCGGGAGTCGTTCCGCTTCCCCACGGATAATTAGGGAGGGAGAAATCTCAATTACAGCTGGGATTTACAGCCCAAGAAACAAGCCGTAAATCCTCACCCCCACTTCTCTCCCTGCCTCGCTCCCCTCCGAGCCACTTCCCAGCCAAATAATCTCCTCCAGATGTTGGCCGCCGATGCCGGGATGGCAGTTTCCAGCAGGGACGAGACCTTTTGGGGGGTCTC